CACACACGGCCAAGTTAGTTGATCAGTTCCCCTATAGCGCATGTGTTTGGACTGTTGGGGAAACCGGAGCACCCGGAGGAAACCCACGCCAACACGGGGAGAACATGCAAACTCCACACAGAGACACCAACTGACCCAGCCGGGACTCAAACCAGCGACCTTCTTGCTGTGAGGTGACAGTGCTAACCACTGCGCCACCACACTGCAAATAACCAAATTATTATTTTACAACTTAAATAAATATTAACCAAATATCAAAGAAAATCTTTAATAAATATCTATATTTTTACATCAAGCCAACGCTGATTGTGTGGGCCAGAGAAATGCTATGCGGGAGGAGACTATATATGATCTCTTATACATTATATTATTTCAAACCACTCAAATGTCCATAAAAGTCCCTGTGTTAAACTAGAGTTGAATTATCATCATTAAAGTGGACAGAGCAGAGATCAACATCCCATAATGCAGTTCAAACTGAAAATAAGTTCGTTAACAGATATTTTTCACAGTGTAGAGTACAGAAGGATCTCAGATATGTGATATTGAGCACATTAGACAGCACTGCACTGGATTTTGCGTAGGCACAGAGAAAACGGTTTTTCACTGCAGCGACAACCCTGAAAGACACACCACTGACAGCCAGCAACGACAGCACAGACAACAGCGCAAGCACACAGTCAGACATCAGGGCAGATGGTGAAGAGCACACACTGCTGCGCCTCTCACTAGCTCAACCTCACTGCACTGAGCTCTGCTTTACTGGCGAGTAAACCGGCTTTCTGCGGCGGCTCAAATCATTTTGCCTGGACTTGTTTTGGTGCGACCGCAACTCCATTACAGTCGAGAATATACTGTAAACAACCTTGAGGAGGGGGACGCTGACCCGGGGTCTTGATGGGCTCGGGCAGGCTTTCTTTTAAGGCAGGACTCTGTGGAGACACACACACACACACACACACACACACACACAAGTTTGTTTTAGTGAATCGTGGGTACATTCTATAGGTTTACACTGGTTTCAACCTGTCCAAATGTATTTTCTCTGATTTTAGACTGCATCTCTGCTACTCCTCAGCAGGGGGCAGCACTGGACAGACAAAACTACACAGAAACTATTCGTCTTTGGATCACTTGATTAATTTTGGATTGCGAAAGCAGAATTCTCCTACGCGAGTAATTATAGCATAATATACAACACCAACACACACAATATAGCACTGCACACTATTACACATGCAGAAAACACACATTATTTTCCAACATTTCAAGGTTAAAAGTTTGTAGTGAAGAAGGATCAAGATCCCATAATGCAATTCAGAAGCAAAAATAAAAACTTGAATCACAACTATTTAGGAAACTACTAATTTAGGGATACTTTTTACAGTGTATGTTGGCTGTGTGTGTGTGTGTGTTTGTGTGTTGCTGTACCTGTGCAGGCTGTACGGTGGCTGCAGGTCTCTGTTGGGCACACACTGATATACGGCTGGATTCGTGGTTCATTTTGGCCAAAACGATGGCGGTGATCAGCTGACGGTCCTCCATCTGATGTTCACCAATCAGAGGCATCGAGGAGCCCACCACCTACACAACACACACACACATGGTATACATATCAGTATATAAATAGGAATAGAAGTTTGGTGTGTGTAATCAGAATATACACTCACCGGCCACTTTATTAGGTACACCTGTCCAGCTGCTCATTAATGCAAATTTCTAATCAGCCAATCACATGGCAGCAGCTCAATGCATTTAGGCATGTAGACATGGTCAAGAGGATCTGCTGCAGTTCAAAGCGAGCATCAGAATGGGGAAGAAAGGGGATTTAAGAGACTTTGAACGTGGCATGGTTGTTGCTGCCAGACGGGCTGCTCTGAGTATTTCAGAAACTGCTGATCTACTGGGATTTTCACGCACAACCATCTCTAGGCTTAACAGAGAATGCTCTGACAAAGAGGAAATATCCAGTGAGCGGCAGTTCTGTGGGCGAAAATGCCTTGTTGATGAGGCCAAAGGTCAGAGGAGAATGGCCAGACTGGTTCCAGCTGATAGAAAGGCAACAGTAACTCAAATAAGCACTCGTTACAACCGAGCTCTGCAGAAGAGCATCTCTGAACACACAACACGTCCAACCTTGAGGCGGATGGGCTACAGCAGCAGAAGAGCACACCGGGTGCCGCTCCTGTCAGCTAAGAACAGGAAACTGAGGCTACAATTCACACAGACTCACCAAAACTGGACAATAGAAGATTGGAGAAACGTTGCTGCTCTGATGAGTCTCCATTTCTGCTGACACATTCAGATGCTCGGCTCACAATTTGGCCTCAACAACATGAAAGCATGGATCCATCCTGCCTTGTATCAGTGGTTCAGGCTGCTTGGATTCCTTGTTGAATCTCTGGCACGAAGGCTTAAGGCAGTTTTGAAGGCGAAGGGGATCCAACCTGGTACTAGTAAGGTGTACCTATTAAAGTGGCCGGTGAGTGTAGATATGAATACAAGTGTGTATGTTTGTGTGTGTTTCTGTTGAAGTTTTTTGTATTGGCCATGATGATAGTTCATAATATTTTAGTAGTTATTTTTCAAGATACTAGTGTTCAGCTTCAAGTAAACTAGGTTAATTAGTTAATCCAAAAATAATCCTTAGGGGGTTAATAATATTGACAATATCAGATTTATTATTATTTTAATATTAATATAATTTAATTAATATGATAAAAATATTATAATAATTCAATTATATTAATAAAATAATGTTTAATATTTATTAAAATGTAATTTTAATTTAATAATTTTATATTTATTTAATAATAATATATTTTAAAAAAACTAATTTAATATTTATTTAATAATAATATATTTTTAAATAATTTAATTTAATATTTATTTACTAATACATTTTTAAATAATTTAATTTAATATTTATTTAATAATAATATATTTTTAAATAATTTAATTGAATATTTATTTAATAATAATATATTTTTAAATAATTTAATTTAATATTTATTTAATTTAACTATTATAATAATATTTTATATTATTATTTTAGCCAAACTAAAAAAATTAAGACTTTATCCAGATTAAAAATATTATAGGAGATACTTGTTCTTGCTCCGTTAAAAAAGTTCAGGAGGCTGAATACATTTGTCTTCATTTGTATGATAGTTTAGCGACCTTAAATATGATTTATTTGACTTAAACCAGTTAATTTAAATGGCCCTATTTGTCTTGTGTGCATGCATGAATGAATATGCATCTTATGTAATGTCCCTGCACAAAACACACGCTAACTCACTCACACACGTCTTCAGACTGCAGTGTGTATTCTCACTCTCACTGACACTCATTCAGTGTGCGAACATAGAAAACAGTTTCCATAGCAACACCACCATTACCAAATCTCCCATAATGAAGCTCAACACTTCCACAGCAGCTTGTTGAGCAGACAGACATCACAGCAGATCATTTTGTTAGGATCTTGAAGCCATATTGAAATATATATATATATATATAAACTGGCCATGCTGAAGGGAAGAATGATGTGTGTTTTTCTTGTAGACAATGAGTGGATATCACCATTCTGTCATTGTGGTGATCGTGACCACATCCTTCCATCATGGAGAATCAAAATATTGTCTCTTTAACCACTGCATTCACTGAAAGCTGGGAATGAGGCGTGTTTGTGTTTGTTATTCTCTTGTGAGATCAAGAATGATCACATTATTGTGCATAAACAATCTCAAAAGTCTTATTCAGACACCATAACAATAAACAATAAAGCTTCGAAATCGCAGAATGATCTGAATTCAGATGTCACCGACTCTGTCCCAGCTATTGGAGACAGAGGCATGTATTGGAGGCATGTATGTTTTGCAGTGGCCCAGCCAGAGTCCTGACCTAAACCCAATTGAGAATCTGGAGAGAGCTAAAGATCATGGTGAACAAGGAGACCTGAAAGAGTTGGAGCTCATTACTAAAGGTAAATGGGCAAAAATACCAGTGGAGACATGTGAAAAGCTGGCCAGTAATTCTAGCAAGTGTTTAATTGGTGTAATAGCCATTTACTGTTTTATATTGATTTATTAAGAAGGGTATGAATAATTTTGGACATGTCACTTTTGTTCAAATGCAAATAAAAGCTGAGAAATATTTATTTTCCGCAACGATGCCTCTTCTGCATCCTCTCATTATCTTTTATGACAAGTCTGTGTCATTGGCAGTCAAATAATTAAATAAATAAAAAGTAAATGTAACTTTAAGTCTGAATTTGCCAGGAATAGAGACAAATTTACAGTTCTCCTGAAACAGACGTCGCTCTAGGGTTTTCTTCTCTTATGTGCTGACAAATGTAGGCGGGGCTTGATTTTGTCTATCACTGATTGGATGGTTGTGGTTTAGCTTATGTGAGTGACAGGTTGATCTGGCTGTTTTGAGACATATTGTTAAGGGTTTAGATTGGGATATTGGGGCATCTAAATACCAACATGATAATAAAAATAAGTCAAACTATTTTTTTAAAAGTATCAAGCGTGTTAAATATTTGCAGTATCTTCATTATGAGACTGAGACCGGGTTTCCTAAGAACGTGTCTCAGCTCTCAAATGTGCTCTTTTGTTGTCTTTAGTTCTTGTCAAATAAGAGAAAATAGACTCAGACTTTGTCAACAGATTTGTCATGGTTTTATGTTTTTTGTTTTTTTTGAAAACCTCACAGATATGTTCTCATTCTTCTGCTTACTGGGATAAGAATACTCTGACAGCGGTCAGCACAGTGACTGTCTCTCTGTCCGCTCTCATGCAGAGGTTTAACACCGCCTATAAGATAATACTATAGTAGTTTAAAGTAAATGCTGTAGCGTTCTTGAACCATACTGAAGCAAATGTACTTGAATTAATTTGTTGTGGTGATTCTACAGTTGCTATGGTAACAACCACAGAAATTAATCTGTTGTGGTGATTCAACAGTCGCTATGGTAACAACTGCAGTAATCGATCTGTTGTGGTGATTCTACAGTTGCTATGGTAACACAACAACTACAGTAATTGATCTGTTGTGGTGATTCTAAAGTTGCTATGGTAACAACTACAGTGATTAATCTGTTGTGGTGATTCTACAGTTGCTATAGTAACGACTATAGTAATTGATCTGTTATGGTGATTTTACAGTTGCTATGGTAACACAACTACAGTAATCGATCTGTTGTGGTGATTCTACAGTTGCTATGGTAACAACTACAGTAATTGATCTGTTGTGGTGACTGTACAGTTGCCATGGTAACAACTATAGTAATTGATCTGTTGTACCAATTCTATAGTTACTATGGTAAAACAATGTGATCATACAGTTGCTATGGTAACACAGCAACTACAGTAATTGATCTGTTGTGGTGATTCTACAGTTGCTATGTTAACATCTACAGTAATTGATCTGTTGTGGTGATTTATAGTGGCTATGGTAACAACTATAGTGACTGATCTGTTGTGGTCATTCTACAGTTGCTATGGTAACAACTACAGTAACTGATCTGTCAGTGATTCTATAGTTGCTCTGATAAAACAATGTGATCCTACAGTTGCTATGGTAACACAACAACTACCGAAATCGATCTGTTCCGGTGCTTCTACAGTTGCTATGGTTTCAACTACAGTAATTGATCTGTTGTGGCGATTCTACAGTTGCTATGGTAACACAACAACTACAATAATGGATCTGTTGTGATGGATTCTGTAGTTGCTATGGTTGCACAGCAAATATAGTAACATGCGTAAACAAATGACCTAATACTGCAGTTTTAAACAACTATAGGGTATATTATACTACGATACACCACCGTTTACTGTAGTAAAATCTAAAGTATACTACAGTTTATCAGTGCATTATAGTTAATACTACAGTATGCTGGAGCATTCATTTACAAAGAGTTGTAAATACTATAATAAATACAGCATAATACACGTTTCTATGGTTCAGAATCAACATTGTATTTACTATAAATTACTGTAGTATTTTTTCATCTGATTTCTCTCACCTCAGTGATATAATCCTTCCCGTCTTTTCCATGAATGGCTTTAACGGCGCAGATTTCCAGTCCTCCGAACACATCTGCACAGGTGTCCACCCACAGCTTATACCTGCAGGAGAAACACACGCTAAAGCAACCTGCTGGTAAACAGCACACAAACACTATCACAGACATGCACTTATTTCAGTACTACAATACTATTACCATACTTCAATATTCAATACTTGAATATGTGAAGTTTATTTATAAACTAATGTCGAGAGGATCATGTGCTTATGATTGATCACAGCTGGTCCTGCATTATCCAGTTTATGATTCACCAATCAGACGATTCCTAAGCCACTATAAATACCCTGAGCTCCATATCACAGCCAACTTCATTTTGAAGAATTCCCCCTTCCACCCCAACTCCTCCTCCTTTAAATGGGTGGCACGGTGGTGCAGTGGTTAGCACTGTTGCCTCACAGCTAAAACGTCACTAGTTCTAGTCCTTACCAAGCCAGCCAACGTTTCTGTGCGGAGTTTACACGTTCTCACCGTGCTCATGTGGGTTTCCCCTGAGTTCCCCGGTTTCCTTCCACCATCCAAAAACATGCAGCTTAGGTTAACTGACTAATCCAGCACCATAGACATGCTGCTAGTCAGTAGTTATCTCTTAAGAGCGATCACTATCTGTTCATCAGCTACTACAGCAGTGGAGTTCTCCACATATACCTGAGCTCAAACTCCCCTCTCGCCTTGCAAATGGGAGGGAACCCCGTCCTCGAGGATCTTATGAGCTCAGGGCTCTCTCCCAGGACAGCATGATGAATCAGCTGAGTGTGAACTCTTGAAAAAAGGGTCAGCTCCAGAGAGCTAGAAAACATTGTTTGTGAGGTATTCTTCGCTGAAACGTCACTACACACTCTAGAGACAGCACATACTGATTTTACAGCTTGTTAAAGAGGCATAATAGGTCTCCTTTAAAGTGTGTTTTAGCAGTGTTTCAGCACCAAGAGCTATCAGTTTCAATAAAACACACGTCTCTGAGTCTGTCTACCTGCGCTAGCTCACTGTGTTCATCTGTCTTACTCACTTGTCAGTCATGGCTACTTGCTCCAGCATGGCAGATCCAGTGTTTGATTTCCAGTTGCCTGAGATGGATGTTCTCCTGCGGATTCAGACCATTTATCACGTCACATTCAGTCTGTGCATTGATTTAAACAACCATTATCACAGCAGTTCTTCTCCAGAAACCGTTGAACGGCTTTAAAGAGATCTAGAGAGGCACCCAAAACATAATATTATTCGTTTATGATTCTTTTCCATGCCTGACAGACTCAGCAGTCATTCATGAGTTTGCTTTTGGAGTACATTCATTTTAAAAGGAGTTCTGCAGTTGACAACCGTAAAGACAACTATAATGGTAAACAATCAGCCCATCTATCATCAGTCTTGCACAGTCTATCAAATCATGCGCTTTATAAAAACTGTTTCATTTTAAACTCGGCACATTTTTTTCATTTTAACATGGTCTTCCAGCTATAATAACAGCCCGTGCTTACAGGAAATGCATGCCTCAGCCTGCATTTTTGTGAAACTCAAAATCCACTGCTCCAGGTGCATGCCATTGCACATTTCTGAAGACAAATCTACTAGAAGGTGCCGTCTACATTTTTGCAAATATAAAATACATAGCTCTGGTTATGTTTAGTTGTGCATTTCAGATGACAAATCCACTAGAGGGTATTTATTTTGCATTTATGAAATAGGTTACTTTAAGCATGTTTTGCTGTATGCATCAGATAAATATTCCACTAGAGGGCGCTGTCTACATTTTTGCAATTCTAAAATACGTTAATCAACATATGTTTTGCTGTATGTTTCATATATCAAGAACACTAGAGGGTGCTGTCTATGTTTTGTGAATATTAAATACATTACTTAGGCTACATTTTGTTGCATGTTTCAGATGATAAATCCACCAGAGGGCGCTGTCCACAATTTTGCATGTATGAAATATGTTACTCAATACATGTTTTGTTGAATGTATAAGAAGAATATTCCACTAAAGAGGGCTGTCTACATTTTTGCAAATATAAAATATGTAGCTCTAGTTACATTTTGTGTTACATTTCAGATGACAAAAACACTAGAGGGCGCTGTATGTATCAGATAAATATTCTACTAGAGGGTGCTGGCTACATTTTTGCAAATCTAAAATACATTACTTAACACGTGTTTTGTTGTGTTTCATATGACAAAAACACTAGAGGGCGCTGTCTACGTTTTGTGAATATTAAATACATTAGTTGGACTACATTTTGTTGTATGTTTCAGATGATAAATCCACTAGAGGGCGCTGTTAACATTTTTGCAAATCTAAAATACATTGCTCCGGTTATGTTTAGCTGTACATTTCAGATGATAAATCCACTAGAGGGTGTGGCTATATTTTTGCATATATGAAATATGTAAATTCATGTTTTGTTGTACGTATCAGATGAATATTTAACTAGAGGGTGGCGTCTACCATTTTGCAAACATAAAATACGTAGCTATACGTACATTTCCGATGAATACGTAAATTTCAGATGACAAAACACAAGAGGGCGCTGTCCACATTTTTGCATATATGAAATAGGTTACTTAAAGTATGTCTTGTATGTATCAGATGAATATTCCATTAGAGGGCGCTGTCTACATTTTTGCAAATCTAAAATAGATTGCTCTGGTTATATTTAGTTGTACATTTCAGATGACAAATCCACTAGAGGGCGCTGTCTACACTTTTGCATATCTGGAATAGGTTACTTAATACACGTTTTGTTGTAAGTATAAGAAGAATAATCCACTAGAGGGCGCTGTCCACATTTTTGCAAATATTAAAAACATTACTTACTTTTAGTAGATATATTATATGAGAAACTTTGTTTACCAAATAAGTCAATCTAATTGGAAAGGTATTATTTTTATTTCATATATTAAGTTTTTAGTTATGACACTAACAGTCAGAAGTGATTGTGTCGGTCAGTTTCACTCACATGTAGGCTTTATAATCAAAGCCGATCTTCTGCACCCTGATGTCGTATTTGGCATCAATGAAAGGCTCAGTGGTGGTGTATGTCTGAGTGATGGCCACAACGCTCGCAATGTCCTGGAAATCACTGTGATTGTCAACCTTCACCTGCAAGGAACGTCCACTTTAACAGGTTATGATGTGGTACAGTGATTAAAAGAGCTTAACATGCTGCAATTTAAGAAAACACATGCAATTACAAACAAACGGCAGCAAAGTAAGAAAAGATCCTTATCAGTTTGACAGCATATGTGCCAATCCTCACAATGCAAACACAAAAAAACAGACTGCATTTTCTCACAACACATGCAAATAGCACAGAATACAACGGAAATCTTTCAAGGGGACCTTAAAACACATTTTGAGGGTGACCAGAAAATAGTTATTAATGTTATTAATGTTATAATAAATGTTATTACAGATATTACTGATGAATCAGGATGAATACAATAAAATTTACTATAAAATAAGTAAATTTATAATACAATTAAAAAAAATAAAAATGCTGTTTTTAAGTTGAATTTAATCTATTCTACTTCAATAAATAAACACTGAACTGAAACTAACTAAACTTACTAAATAAAAATAGTAAAAGCAGTTTCTGATGGATCAAGATGCATAAATTAAATTAAATTTAATTAAATTAAATTAAAAATAAATATATAAATACAAAAAGTAAATAAAAAAACTAAAAAGATAAAATAAATAAAATAAAATAAAAACATTACATTTAAAATAAATAATTTAAATTTTTAAAAATAAAATCAAATAAAATAAAACCAGAAAATGAGAAATGCTGTATTGTCAAACTGCCTAAAAAGTAGGTTTAGGCTGAAATGAATAAATACCACTTAAAAAAAAAAAAATAATTAACACTGAAATAAAACTAATAAAAAAAACATAAAATTATTAAAAGTTACTGATGAATCATGATGTAAAAATGTCTATATCAGGGTTATTGAACAAACAAACAAACAAACAAACAAATAAATAAATAAACAAACAAACAAACAAACGAACGAACGAACGAACGAACGAACGAACGAACGAACGAACGAACGAACGAACAAACAAATAAATAAATAAATAAATAAAAAGTGTTATTGCTAAAATGTATATCCTAAAAGTACTATTTATAAAAAAATTACAAAACAATGTAAAACATACAATTATTTAAAAAAAATACAATAATTTTTTAATGCAATTTAAAAAATCAATACAAACTCAGTACATATAAAGCAGTTTCACATCAAAATGCATATTTGTTTTTCTACCTTCCCCATCCCAGAATGAGCATGTCCAATCTTCACCACCACTGGGAATGTTGGCATCGAGATCTGAAACACAGAGTCATTGTCCTCATTATTGACTATTATTATTACAGTTATTGATCCATATTTACATTAATTACCAACACAGATCCTGGAACTGCTCATTGCGTATAAAACCACGTCATTTAATCCATGCTGGAACAATAGATGGTGCGTGAGTAAAGGTGCAGTTTCCCAGCACAGAAACAGAAACCAGTTATGAATAATTCGGTGGGTCACTGTTGCCTCACAGCAAGAAGGTCGCAGGTTTGAGTCCCGGCTGGGTCAGTTGGTGTTTCTGTGTGGAGTTTGCATGTTCTCCCCGTGTTGGCGTGGGTTTCCTCCCGGTGCTCCGGTTTCCCCCACAGTCCAAACACATGCGCTATAGGGGAACTGATCAACTAAATTGGCTGTGTGTGTGTGTGTGTGTGAGAATGAGTGTGTATGGGTGTTTCCCAGTGATGGGTTGCAGCTGGATGGGCATCCGCCGTTTGAAACGTGTGTGTGTGTGTGTGTGTGTGAGAGAGAGAGAGAGAGAGAGAGTAAGAGACAGAGAGTCAAAGTGTGTGTTTGAGAGTGTGTGTGTATTGTGCGTGTGTATTGTGTGTGTGTTCAGAGGGTGGGGTTTGTTTAGTTAGAAGGTGGTCCTTTCCTCGGCCACACATGAAAGCTATAAGACAGCCGGAGCTCCTTGAGAGTGTGTGAGACACAGACTGCTGTGTGGAGTGTGATGATGATGATGATGATGATGAAGATGTGCACTCGCGAGTGTGTGACTGCAGGTCTGCTGTTCTTTATGTGTGTGTGTCTGAATCAGCAGATGCTGGAGGCCTGCAGCTGCGCGTCTGCACATCCACAACAGCTCTTCTGCAGCGCTGACGCAGGTATGGCTAACACACACACAGACAAACACAGACACTCACATATTCATTCTCACACATGCATACACACAGACACACAAATGCGCACGCACACAGACATTACAGCGATATTCAGAACTCCTGCTGTAAACACACAGGAGCAAATCAGATACCTGAGTGACTGTGTGTGCAGGTGAGTGTGTGCCCATGCTATCTTTTTTACATGCATTTTTTTAAACAATTTTTTTTTCTTTTTGCTATTTGGGCGTATTGGAATCTAATTAGAATAAAATCGATGTATCTTTTTTGATATGATATACTTTTAGAGAAAAGTTATATCCACATACAGCTGAAGTCAGAATTATTCGCCCCCTTTTAATTTTCTTTTCTTTTTTAAATATTTCCCAAATGATGTTGAGCAGATTGAGGAAATGTTCACAGTATGTCTGATAATATTTGTTCTTCTGTAGAAAGTCTTATTTATTTATTTTTTTGGCTAGAATAAAAGCAGTTTTAATTTTTTAAACACCATTTTAAGCTCAATATTATTAGCCCCTTTAAGCTGTATTTGTTTTCGATAGTCTCCAGAACAAACCATCGTTATACAATAACTTGCCTAATTACCCTAACCTGCCTAGTTACCCTAATTACCCTAGTGAAGCCTCTAAATGTCACTTTAAGCTGTATAGAAGTGTCCTGAAGAATATCTAGTCTAATATTATTTACTGTCATCATGGAAAATATAAAGTAAATCAGTTATTAGAGATGAGTTATTAACACTGTTATGATTAGAAATGTGCTAAAAATCTTCAGTCCGTTAAACAGAAATTGTGGAAAAAATAAACAGGGGGGCGAATAATTCTGACTTCAACTATATCCTCGTGGTCTGAATTTACACAAAACACTTTTTCCTGACTGTTTTTAATGCATTAATAACACACACATTTTTTTGAACATGTTTTGACTATCAGAGAGTAAAAACAAAAATTTTGGGCCATTTTGGACTGTTAAAATGAGTGTTTAGGACATTTCATAACCAGCAAAACAGTTGCAGGATGACACTGTGTGTCTGTAACAAAATAAAAACATTCAAAGTATTTTAAACAGACACTTAAGAGCTAAAATGTGCTGTCCATGTACAGCTGAAGTCAGAATTATCAGCCCCCCTGAATTATTAGACCCCGTTTATTTTTGGTCCTCAATTTCTGTTTAACGGATTTTATTTTATTTTTTTAATTCAGCACATTTCTAATCATAATAGTTTCAATAACTCATTTCTGATAACTGATTTATTTTCTCTTTGTCATGATGACTGGATAAGTTGGCGGTTCATTCCGCTGTGGTGACCCAAGATGAATAAAGGGACTGAGCAGAAGGAAAATGAATTAATATAATATAATATAATATAATATAATATAATATAATATAATATAATATAATATAATATAATATAATATAATATAATATAATAATCAGAATAATTGCCATGTCAATTGTTATTCTTTTGCTTTTACTTATAAATCAAGGATAAATAAAATTACATAAAAAATTAAATAAAAAACAGCTGACAGAAAAGAAGCATTATTTGTAAACAAACAACAATATTATTATTAAATCCATTCATTCATTCTCTTTTCGGCTTAGTCCCTTCATTAATCAGGGGTCGCCACAGCGGAATGAACCACCAACTTATCCAGCATATGTTTTAAACAATGGATGCCCTAACAGCTGCAACCCAACACTGGGATACACCCATACACACTCATACATTACAGAGAATTTAGCCTACCCAATTGCCCTGTAGCGCATGTGTTTGGACTGTGGGGGAAACCGGAGCACCCGGAGGAAACCCACACCAACACAGGGAGAACATGCAAACTCCACACAGAAACGCCAACTGACCCAGCCGAGACTCGAACCAGCGACCTTCTCGCTGTGAGGGGATTGTGCTGCACACTGCGCCACCCTCAATTATTATATTATTATATTTAAAATTTTACTTTATTTCCATAACCAAAAGCTAATTTATATATTTTTTAATGAATGAATGAATGAATGAATGGATGAATGAATGATCTCTTTTGAGAGCGAGTAAAGCTCAACAACAGTCCATGTATTGATGACACTGCAACAGCTTTTCTTACTTAGAGTTTTTGTCTAGTTTCAAGTCAAATTACCTAAAAATTATTACTATTAAAACATTTTATAGACGAGCAAAAATATTGTGTTGTTTACAGAAATAATGAGTGAGCTTTTCCTAAGTTAAAAAATCTTGGTTTTCTTCTGACATACGAGTACTTCACTTTCCCATTGTCAGATTATTTGGCTTGTTTTGAGGAAAAATCCATTTAATTTTGGCATATTATTAATAAAATCAAGACCATAAGTTTTGCTTGTCTAGAAAAGCTTCCAGATTTAGGATTTGTTAGATATTTGGTCTAGAGAAATGACAAAAAAACTCTAAGTATCTTTATTTGCAGTGTATATTTGCCTTCTTTCCGCATGCAGAGTGTGTGTTTTCGTGTTTAGATGTCCAGTGAATGTGGTGTCCGGCTCACAGACTGAAAGGGTTTGTCTGCTTCTGCATTCCAGTCTTTGTTCTGGAACAATGAGTCAGGAATGAGCGGCATGAGTTTATAAACCCAAGCAGATTCCTGGAGTATTCCTGCAACCAATACAGTAAAGCCACATAATCCCTGTCCGAGAAAACAATAACGCATCGCTCTGCCATCCAGCGCACCGTCAAGACAAAAACAGACAATTCTGGAGGAGTCTTGAGTAGCTCTACATTCAAACTGAAATATCTCCTGTTACAGAAGCACTCGTCTGCATGTTGTCAGTGTGAGTGTGTGTTCATGCTTCTGTCAGTCTATTTCGCTCCTCATCTAAAACTCCACATCTATAATCCTCTTAGTCTATGCTGACATGATCTTCAGCAGCTCAAACACTCTAATGGCGAATGGACAGACGGCTGCTTCTCACTCAGGGCTGCTGGAGATGCTAATGAGATGGAGAGATGGACACTAGTGGGCGGGGCTTTCCCACTCTGATGACACGTACAAAGGGAGAATGTCAATCAAAGTGTTTCCCCAGACGGAACTCAAACCAGCGACCTTCTTTCTGTGAGGTGGCAGTGCTAACCACTAAGCCACCGTGTCAAATATATCATCATAATGAGTTTCAGTTCACTGTAAATCCTCTGAAAGCAGAATCTGGATGATATCAATCTTTAGGAAAATATTGCCAACTGTTTAAGTCCAGCATGCTCTCTGTTAAACTAGCAAAATGTGTATTTGCAGACAGCATAACTGGTGGTGTTTCACTGTCATGCTCTAATAATAATATAATAACAGCTGTCTGTTTTCCCGTTAGTGCTGCGGGCAGAGATAACCGGAGAGAAGATCAGGCGCAGAGAAGACATTAACCCGATGTACGGCCTGGGGAAAATACAGTATGAGGTGCAGGTGATCAAGGTGAGCAGATGAACTTCAGGATCACGTCAGTGCACTGCTGCGATCAGAGTTGGGTTTAAGGAGTTACAAAGCACAGTAACTAGCAGGGGCATAGCGGATGATCTGGCTCTAAAAGTGAGGGAGACATATCCCCCCCTCTCGCTACACCCCTGTTAACTAGTGAATATTAATAAATTACTTTTACACTAACAAGTAACAAATTACTTTTATTTTTGCTGTTTTTTGCAGTTATTTCTAATATACTTGCCTTAAATAAATAAATAAATAAGTCAATGAGTCAACTGAGAGAAGCAGAGCGCTCGACATATACGAGTTCACCCCTTATGAATTTCTTATTTCAATTAATTGTTTTCTTTAGGATGTTCAACAATATTATATTAGTGCATATACAGTATGTTAGGCTAGTGAAGCCAAATCTGGAGCTTATTTAACAAAATAACATTCAAAATTAGTAGCCCTGTTGGCGCAGTAGCCTAGTGGTAAGCGCGCCAACATATGGTGCAATAGCACATCAGGCATCGCGAGTTCGAATCCCGGCTCAACGAAATTACCCTACCCCCTCTCTCTGTCCCGCTTCGCTTCCTGTCTCAATAGTATCCTATCTAATAAAGGCAAAAAGGCCAAAAATAAATCTTTAAAAAATAAATAAATAAATAAAAATTAGTAGCCCAAATTTATATGTTAGAGAAAAATATTAAATAAAAATGTAAAATGAGCAAAATTCAAGAGAAACCAAAAGATGCAGAACATTATGTTGATATTTTGTTGTTTGTAATTTCCCTCCAATATTTTGCATGCATTTAAATGTATTATCTTTTTATTTCTGAAGATGTTTAGTAACTAAAATATTATTTTAATAAGTATATCTGTTTAATAAATCTGTTTTGTTCAAATGCACTAAAATATATTACACATAATCACGAGAAATGGATAAAACAATGTTTATTTACAAAAGGGAGTGTACTCGTCTATGTTGAGCACTGTATATATAAAAAAGTCAACTGTAAAAACGTGACTGTAAAAGTGACAATTAAAACCCACTGCCATTCAAAAAGATGGCACACATAGAGCTGAAGATTTATACACCCTCCTGTAAAATGTTAATTATTTGTCAAATATTTCTGAACTGATATTTAACAGAGCATTTTTTACAGTATTTGCTAGTCTATTTTTCCATTAGTTTGGCTGGAATATTTAAAATAATGAAGAAACTAAACTGCTGCTGTGGTCAATGTTATTAGCTTCATTATCTTATTTTTCAATTGTCTACAGAGCAAAACCACTGTTATACAGTGCTCAGCATATATGCGTACACCCCTCACCAATCTCTCTTTTAAATTCATACCTTTAATAGGAAGCTTTACAATACTATATTAGTGCATATACATTAGATTAGTCAGTACTAAAGCCAAATCTGGAGCTCATCTAACAAAATAACTTACAATAACGCTCCAAAAACGAGCACAGCCAAATTAATATGTTATAGAAAAATATTAAATTAAAATCAAGAGAAGCAAAACAATGGAGAAATTTATTAGAAATTTTGTAGGTTTTCATTTATTTTTGCAATATTTTGCTTGAATTTAATTGTATGATCTTTCAATTTTTAAATATGTTTGGTGACTAAAATATTATTGTAATAATTATATCTGTTTAATAAATCTGCACCAAAATACACTCACTGAGAAATGAATAATATTCATTTTCAAAATGGAATGTACTTATAGATGTTGAGTACTGTACAATCACTTGCATAATTACCCTAATTACTCTAGTAAAGCCTTTAAATGTCATTTTAAGCTGAATACTAGTGTCTTGAAGACTATCTAGTCAAACATTATGTACTGTCATCATGGCAAAGAGAAAAGAAATCAGTTATTAAACCTGTCATTCTTAGAAATGTGTTGAAAACAAATACTCTGACTTCAACACAGAGCCTCTAGCAAAACGACAGGACTAACGAAATGCTGCTGTTGTAGGTGTTCAAGGGCTCGGACAGGATAAAAGACCTCCAGCATGTCTACACGCATGAGATGTCTTCAATGTGCGGGATCAGACTGAACCGTGGCCAGTATCTGCTCTCAGGTATAAGAGCTATTATGATGAGATTTTCCCAAAAGACTTTAATCCGCCGACCCTCAGGATGAGCATTTATTGAAACTGCTGGATGACCAAAGATGGAGCGGTGGTGTGTCGATTACTGCCTGGAGGATTCAATAGTTTATTGTGTTTTTATATCTCAGAATATACTTCATTGTTGCTCTGTCAATGTCAAATGCTAGCGAACATTGACATCACCACTGCACTGTTTACAAATAACAACACAATCATTCCTTTTCATATTCATTATTGATTAGTGAAGGCTTATTTTCAAGCTTGTCCATTGTACAATACTATGCTCTAAGCTCAAATGTGCATGACTTGTAAACACTCTTTGATTCTTTCATCATATGAGTGTGTGTGTAAATGAGTGTTTATGGGTGTCTCCCAGCAATAGGTTGCAACTGGAAGGGCATTCACCACTTAAAATGTATGCTAGAATAATTGGCGGTTCATTCCACTGTGGCAAATTTTTTTCAATCAATACTGATCTACTAAGTATGTTTGTTATTGGCATCAGATATGTGAGGATTGGTTTACTATGAGTTATCATTAGTTTGTTTTTTGTCCAGTCCACTATTCGCCTGTTGCCGTTTTAAATAATGCACTATAATAAGAATTAATATTAAGACCTCTGGGAAAATGAAACAGAAATGCAATGTTTGATATGTTTGTTGTCTCATAGGAAGTATGATGTCTGAGGGATTCTTTGTCACACTGTGTGACTTTGTTGAGCACTGGGACAGACTCTCCTTAACGCAGAAGAAAAACCTCAAATACAGATATCAGATGGGCTGTAACTGCACGGTAATATCCAGTAATCGAATTATGCATTTTATCCCAGTTGACAACAATCCGCAAATAAAGTGACATGCTTGAAAAGTGGCCAGGGAGAACCAGCTAATTTGCATTTAAAGGCACAGATGATACAGATAACATTCCGTCTGACCCCAAAGTTAACATTTTCAACAGAATAAATCAGTTTACTGATTGGTATTTTGACCTGAAAACAGACATGTTCTGTAAAGACAAAGGGCTTATTTTACATATTGTAAAAATGCCAAAATAGGAGAGCTTTTAAATTAGATAAAGTAATTTAAAGATAAACACTCCAGTCATTACCAAAACACTCCAGTCCTTACCAGAACACTCATCCCAACCAGAACACTCCAGTCACTACCAGAACGCCACTTCAATCATTACCAAAACACCCCAGTCATTACCAGAACACTCATTACTACCAGAACACTCCTGTCAGTACCAGAATATCACTTCAATCATTACCAAAACAACCCAGTAATTACCAGAACACTCCCGTCATTACCAAAATACCACTTCAATCATTACCAAAACACTCCAGTCATTACCAGAATACTCTTTACTACCAGAACACTTCTGTCAGTACCAGAATACCACTTCAATCATTACCAAAACAACCCAGTAATTACCAGAATACTCATTACTACCAGAACACTCCTGTCAGTACCAGAATACCACTTCAATCATTACCAAAACAACCCAGTAATTACCAGAACACTCCAGTCATTACCAAAATACCACTTCAATCATTACCAAAACACTCCAGTCATTACCAGAATACTCATTACTACCAGAACACTCCTGTCAGTACCAAAATACCACTTCAATCATTACCAAAACACTCCAGTCATTACCAGAATACTCATTACTATCAGAACACTCCTGTCAGTACCAAAATACCACTTCAATCATTACCAAAACAACCCAGTAATTACCAGAACACTCCAGTCATTACCAAAATACCACTTCAATCATTACCAAAATACTCCAGTCATTACCAGAATACTCATTACTACCAGAACACTCCTGTCAGTACCAGAATACCACTTCAATCATTACCAAAACACTCCATTCCTTACCAGAACACTCATCCCAACCAGAACACCCCAGTCACTACCAGAACACCACTTTAATCATTACCAAAACACTCCAGTCATTACCAGAACACTCATCACTACCAGAACACTCCAGTCATTACCAGAACACTCATGATTACCAGAACAATCCTTGTCACTACCAGAACACCTCTTCAATCATTACCAAAACACTCCAGTCATTACCAGAACACTCATCACTACCAGAACACTCCAGTCATTACCAGAACACTCATCACTACCAGAACACTCCAGTCATTAACATAACACTTCAGTCTCTACTACAACACTCCAGTCGTTACAAGAACACTCATCACTACCAGAAAACTCATCACTACCAGAACATTTCAGTGTCTACCAGAAAACTCCAGTCTTTACCAGAACACTCATCACTACCAGAACACTCCAGTCATTACCAGAACACTCATGATTACCAGAACAATCCTTGTCACTACCAGAACACCTCTTCAATCATTACCAAAACACTCCAGTCATTACCAGAACACTCATCACTACCAGAACACTCCAGTCATTAACATAACACTTCAGTCTCTACTACAACACTCCAGTCGTTACAAGAACACTCATCACTACCAGAAAACTCATCACTACCAGAACATTTCAGTGTCTACCAGAAAACTCCAGTCTTTACCAGAACACTCATCACTACCAGAACACTCCAGATTTTAGCAATGCATTTACTAACCAAAAATGTTTTGATATATTTACTGTAGGAAATTTATAAAATGTCTTCACGATTCACGATCATTACTTAAAATCCCTAATGATTTTGGGCATGAAAGAAAATACTTTGACTCACACAATGCATTATTGGCTATTCCGGCAACTGGCTTTGTGGTCCTGGAAGACATATTACAATATAGTAATCTCTGAAATTGTGATCTCAACAGATATCCATCTGCACTGAACAGCCCTGTCACCCCAAGGTAAAAAACGAGTGTATCCTGACAGACTGGTCATCCTTGTGGCCATTTGAGGATGGAGAACCAGTTCATGAATATGCCTGCATCCGACACAGTGATGGCTCCTGCAGCTGGCATGAAGGAGGAACATCCGTACCTTCTGAAAAAAACACCACAGACATTTCTGAAGGCTGAGAATGTAGAAATGAATACCCAAAAATCAGCTCTATCTTACAGACACTCAGAACACCTTAGCAACCTCTTACTTGGCTAACCTAACAACCAAATAACTATTCTAGTCACTTTGAAAGCACTCCAGTCACTACCAGAAAACTCGTCATTACCAGAACCCTCCAGTCACTACCAGAAAACTCGTCAATACCAAAACACTAGTCACTACCAGAACACACCAGTCTCTACCAGAACAATCATCACTACCAGAACACTCTAATCACTACCAGAACACACAAGTCAATACTAGAACTCACCAGTCACTACCAAAACACTTCAGTCATTACCAGAACACTCATCACTAGCAGAACACTCCAGTACCAGAACACTCCAGTCACTACCCGAACATATCAGTCACTACCAGAAAACTCGTCACTACCAAAACACTTAATACTACCAAAACACACTAGTCAATACCAAAACACTCCAGTTACTACCAGAACACTTGTCACTACCAGAACACTCCAGTTCCAAGACTTTAGTCATTCCCAGAACACTTGTCACTGAACTTTCCAGTCACTACCAGAACACACCACTCACTACCAGATCACTTGTCACTACCAGAACCCTTGTCACTACCAGAACACTCCAGTCACTACCATAACACACCAGTCATTACCAGAACACTTCAGTCATTATCAGAACCCTCGTCACTACCAGAACACTCCAGTCACTACCATAACACACCAGTCATTACCAGAACACTTCAGTCATCATCAGAACACTCGTCACTACCAGAATACTCCAGTCACTACCAGACAACTTGTCATTACCAGAAGACTAGTTATTCCCAAAACACTTGTTACTATCAGAACACTTGTCACTACCAGAACACTCCAGTCACTACCACAAAACTTGTCACTACCAGAACACACCAGTCACTACCCAAACACTCATCACTACCAGAACACACACTAGTCATTACCAGAACACACTGGTCACTACCAGAATGCTCATCACTACCAGAACACTCCAGTACCAGAACACACAAGTTACTACCAGAACACATCAGTCACTACCTGAACACACAAGTAACTGCCAAACAACCATGCAGAACACTCCAGTCATTACCAGAACATTTGTCACTTACCAGAACACTTCAGTACCAGAACCCTTCAGTCACCACCCAGAACACTCCAGTCACTATCAGAACACTTGTCACTGCCAGAACACTTCAGTACCAGAACACTTCAGTCACCACCCAGAACACTTCAGTCATTACCAGAACACACCAGTCACTACCATAACACTAGTCACTATAAGAACACACCAGTCACTACCATAACACTAGTCACTACCAGAACACACCAGTCAGTACCAGAACACTTGTCACTACCAGAACACACCAATTGCTACAAGAAAACACAACTACCATTAAACCACCCAGAACTCTCCAGTCACTAAGACACCTTAGCAGCCACCTAAGAACCCATCACACTTTATCAACAAGCAACCACTCTGATCTTCATAGCAACCTCCTGATGAAGGCATGTTTCATGATGTATTTTTCTGACATGTACAGTTAGCCAGTGCTCTTAACATACAGCAGTAGTTTTAGTTGACTGTCTAACCAATGATTTGCATTATAGTTGTCTGTATTTGATTATTATTGATTTTATTCGTCAACGCAACATATCTTTTCTGATTTAATTTTCTATTTCAAAAGGAATAAAGATTAAAAACTGCAATTTGACTTGGATTTTTTTTTTTTTTGCTTTCTGAAATAGACAGAAGTGTTTTGCACAAATTAAAACAAAAGTACAATCCTTTGCATTTACAGGTCTCAATGAACTAGTTTACATTTGATCTGTATAGTTTTGGATTGCTGTATTTTAATCTTTTGGTTTGACGAGGTAAGCTTAAATATAACATTACTGGAGGCATCCGGAAATAAAGAAGGATGTGAATTAAGGAATTAACTCTAACTGTTTGTTTTTATCTGATGAAATGCTGATGTTGTGCAATAGGCGTTCGCGTGACGGTTCCAGATAAATTATGCTGACTTCCAGACCATGATATGAGAAACAGCTAATCTTAACAGACAACAAACACCACAGAAACACTCTCTGTGTCATTTATGATCACAACAGGAGTTATAAAACGCATACAATGTGGACGGCTTTATAAATCTAACTGCGATATGTAAATATGGAGAATGTGTGTGGATTTATTAAGATGTGCTCTTTTTGTTACAGTTCTGTAACACTATTAGAGGATATTTTCAACAAGAAAATATTAATACAAAACTTTAATGCATCACACTGCAAAAAATGCATTTATTACTTTGAGTTTTTGTCTTGATTCTAGTTTAAATTTCCAAAAACAATTAAATTATGAAGAATTTCCAGACAAGCCAAAATATTGTCTTTCATAAGCAGCCAAAATTATTCTTTTCTTTAAAACAAGCTAAATAATCTGCAAATGGAGTGTGCAACATATTTTTGCTTTCTCTTTGAAATAAGAATATATAGCTTACCTCATAGGCAGATTATTTAGCTTAAGGCAAAATTTACCTAATTTTGACTGATTATTTCTTAATGTCAATTTCAATGTCAATTTATTTATATAACACTATTAAATACAACCACAGGTTGACCAATGAGCTGCACAATACACATCACAACAAAGAAAAAATATACCATTACAATATTGTACCTAAAACAGACAATTTCCATTGATAAAATGCCAAATCGAAGAGGTTTTCAACTTAGATTTGAAACAGACAGGGATGAAACAGATCTAATACAGAGGGGCAGAGCATTCCACAACCTAGGACCAGCAGCAGCAGGAGGTGAATGATGTGAGCCATTTTTTTCTGCGGACCACTGCTCATTTAGGTTGAAAACTTAGAAAAGTTGATTGGTCATAAACCAGTAGAGACAGGCCGCACTGCGCAACTGAAAAAAGTGTTGCATGCAGAACTGTTGCAAACAGTTTATTTGTGTTGAATTTAAGCAAACAAATTAAGTTTAATAATGTTCAACTTGATTTGTTTGTTTAAATTCAACCTAAATAAATAGTTTACAACGTTTTAACGTAAAAAAAAAAGAGTAAATCTAAGGAATCATCTTTGAATATTTTTTTTTAGTGTAGGAAATAAAACCACGAATAAAATACAGACTTTAAAGTAAGCTGTAAGATCGACGACACGAGACAATAAGTTAAAACAAGACAATATGTTTTGCTTGTCTATAAAATGCTGCTTTATTTAAGCATTTTGAGATATTTAGAAACAAGAAAAAACGTTGTACTTATCATTTCTTCTTAATTCAAAATTCACCATCAAATAAATAACAAAGAATTTGTAATTTCATAAATAAATGCAGTACATACTCTCTGAAATAAAAGGTGCAACTGGGATGATACCTTTTTAAAACGCACACTTTTGTACATCACCGGTGCATATAGGCAACTTGAAGGTACAATTTTGTACTGTAAACATTGTATGACAATAAGTCAACACATATTTTTATTTTGCTTTAACCTATTCGAATGAGTTTTAATCAGCTTTCAGCTACTTTTTAAAGTTATACACATTTTAACGTAATACTTTTAGTCAGTTTGATTGATGCAAGTTCATAATTTGATTCAGCTAAAACAATTTAAGGCAATGATAATATTTTACAGTGTACTATGAAGTACGCATTTATATTAGGCATTATAATTTCCTTTAAAGTACAAAGTGTGCATAAGAGCACGGCCCCCGTGACATGAGAGTGTGCATAAATATGTTCCATGCATTTTGTAGCAATATAATTTCTCTGTACAAAATCCTGTTTGGAACAAGAATTATTTGAGGACGGACAAACTTATACACTTTATCTTAATATAAATACTTATTCCTTGATTTATTTCATGAAGCTCAGAGTGCATGTTTTGTTTTATTTGAACATTAAATATATCTTACAATGCGACATGAAACATTATGGTAGAAACCTTCTGAACATTAAATGATTACAGTCACACTTTACAATAAGGTTTCAGTAGGTAATATATTTATTAAAATGCACTAATTATGAACAACATTTGTACAGCATTTAATAATCATAGTTCAGCAATTACTAATGCAGTAATAACATCCACATTCATGCTTTTTAACATAAGTCAATGCACCTGAGTTACCATCAACTAACAATGAGCAACTGTATTTTCATTAACTATGAACAAACACTGTCATAAATGATTCGTTCATTGTTTGCTCATGTTAGTAAATGCATTAACTAAAACACAACCTTACTGTAAAGGGCTACCGTGATGATTTCTAAGATTAAGTAATCTGATGCCGACGCCTTTTTGTGCCTGTTTCTGTTGCTCAATCAGCACACAACTGAATTCTGAACTGTTTGCTAAGAGCTATAAAAGATGCCCACAGTGCCCAGAATAAAGCAGATCTGCAGAGACGCGGAGGTGAACAGTCAGAAGTGAAGATGATGAAGATGAAGATGTATGTGTCTGCAGGTCTGCTGTTCTTCATGTGTGTGTGTCTGAATGAGCAGATGCTGGAGGCCTGCAGCTGTATCCCCTTTCATCCACAACAGGAGTTCTGCTATTCGAGTGCTGGTAAGACTAACACACACGACACTAATCAAATGGACAGCATGAATATATTCTGTGATATAATAATCTGCAGGATATATACAACTTTAGTGAGCCTTTAAAAATGTGCTTTTATTTTCGTTCACAAGGAAACACTGCTCTAGTTATTGTATAATAATATAATATATTGTATGCGTGTAGGTTAGTGAACTCATTTTATCCAAAAACTTTTGTTATTTACTCAAGGTCACTTAACTGGGTAAGGCATTATCATTAGCTCATTTACTAGTGCATTAATTAATAAACACGAATTACACAAGGAGAGAGGGTACAAACAATATACACTCACCGGCCACTTTATTAGGTACACCTTACTAGTACCAGGTTGGACCTTCAGAACTGCCTTAATCCTTCATGGTGTAGACTCAACAAGCTACTGGAAATATTCCTCAGAGATTTTGCTCCATATTGTCATGATAGCATCACACAGTTGCTGCAGATTTGTCGGCTGCACATCCATGATGCCAATCTCCCGTTCCACCACATCCCAAAGCTGCTCTATCGGATTGAGCTCTGGTGACTGTGGAGGCCATTTGAGTACAGTGAACTCATCGTCATGTTCACCAGTCTGAGATGATTGAGCTTTATGACATGCTGCGTTATCCTGCTGCCATCAGAAGATGGAGACACTGTGCTCATAAAGGGATGGACATGGTCAGCAGCAATACTCAGGTAGGCTGTGGCGTTGATGCTCAATTGGTACTAATGGACCCAAAGAAAATCTCCCCCACACCATTACACCACCACCACCAGCCTGAACCGCTGATACAAGGCAGGATGATCCATGCTTTCATGTTGTTGAGGCCAAATTGTTGAGCCGAGCATCTGAATGATGCAGCAGAAATGGAGACTCATCAGAGCAGCAACGTTTCTCCAATCTTCTATTGTCCAGTTTTGGTGAGTCTGTGTGAATTGTAGCCTCAGTTTCCTGTTCTTAGCTGACAGGAGCGGCACCCGGTGTGCTCTTCTGCTGCTGTAGCCCATCCGCCTCAAGGTTGGCCATGTTGTGTGTTCAGAGATGCTCTTCTGCAGAGCTCGGTTGTAGCGAGTGCTTATTTGAGTTACTGTTGCCTTTCTTTTTGATGGTTGTGCGTGAAAATCCCAGTAGATCAGCAGTTTCTGAAATACTCAGAGCAGCCCCTCTAGCAGCAACAACCATGCTACGACCAAAGTCTCTTAAATCCCCTTTCTTCCCCATTCTGATGCTCGCTCTGAACTGCAGCAGATCGTCTTGACCATGTTGCTGCCATGTGATTGGCTGAGTAGAAATTTGTGTTAACGAGCAGTTGGACAGGTGTACCTAATAAAGTGGCCGATGAGTGTATGCTGCATTTGTTTTCTTAAGCTTGTATACCTACAATAAAAGTCGTCGTGCTCTAATGTCATTTTTGTTTAGTCCCTCTGAATATCTTCATATCTTCATATCTATCAAAACATTTCAGCTAGGATTTATTTTGAAGGTTTTATTACACTTTAGCAGAGTGAACTGACTAATCATTTTTTCGTCACATTTGATTTGATTTTCTATCAGTGATTAAGGCTATGGTACTTGACGAGGAGCCCATACCTGGCCAAGACCCCGAAGAGATAAAGTACAAAATCAATGTGCTCCAGGTACAATTTTCATCTTTACACTAATCATGTTCCCATCAGCATCTTTCCATTGTGAACAGAAATATCTTCTCGTGTTTCTCCATGCAGGTGTTCAAGGGCGCTGAGCATGCAGGAATCGAGTATTTACACACAGCTAGTGACGGAGCGATGTGCGGTATCCGCCTGAGACCTGGCATTTATCTGCTCGCAGTGAAAGGTAAGTAAAGAATACAAAAACCCAACATATAGTGGCAGAGAGAGCTGAACATGCTGCAAAATAGAAGAAAACATCCACAACTACAAAAAACGGCAGAAAATTGAGAAAAGATCTTCATCAGTTTGCGAGCAGACGTGCTGCAAATCATCACAACGCAAACACATTTTTAGAAAATGCACTGCATCTTCACACAACTTTTTCAAATAGCTCCGAACACAACGGAAATGTTTCAAGGAGACCCTGAAACATGACGGAACCAGTTATTTAGCTCACCGGGTTCCATAAGGGGGTCAGTTAGGAGAATGATCATGTTGCTTTAGTTCATTTTATCCCCTGGCTGACCAATAATGGACAAATCTGTAACTCTTCCCCCACAAAAAAGACCAAGTCTCTGTTATGCGCCTTCAGCAGCTAATAGTAATGATGACCGAGCATACTGGACCCAGGTAAGGACACATTTCAGGTCACAGCAGTAGCAATACTGGAAACATGAAATGCAGGAAATACCATGATAGTTAGCTGAACTATGGTTTGATTCCATTTTCTCGAAGAAAAGAGTCTCTGACCCAGCCACAGTGCGTTATCTGTGCCAAAGTTCTTGCTAACGAATGCATGAGGCCGTCCAAATTAATAAGACCTTTGCAGAAGCACATGACAAGCCCAGAGCATTTTCTGAGAATTTACAAACACCCAAAATGAGATGAGGAGCGTCACTACTCACAATAAATGTTTTCAAAATTGGCAACTAGTATAAGGGTCAATTTAAAGTGCGAAGGCTTGCGCTTTTCAGGTACAAGTGGCCTACTGATGTTCTGCTTTCATATTTTACATTATTTGTCAGGGCCATAGCCAGCCTGATATAAAGGGTGGTTCTTTTTTCTCAAAAAGTAGATATATTGAGCACTATTTTTAGCTGCATTAGGTTGTCGGGAGGTCATCATAACCACAGTTTGTGATGTAACAAAAGTATTTCCTAAAGATTTAGATTAAAGAAATATTAAAAAAATATTAATAATATTAAATACAAATGTATTGCATTGTATATCATTAGAAAAAAATGGTAGCCTATATTCTCCCTTATTAAGGAAATACCAAACAAAAATGCCAAAACTTTCAACTTTCCTCAGTCTGAATTTGGCTATTTGAAAAATAAAAAATGAAAACATAATAATAATATTAATAATGATGATAATAATAATGATAATGATAATAATAATAATAATAATAATAATAATAATCATCACAATAATAATAATCCTACTACTACTACTGCTACTACTACTACTTCTACTAATAATAATCACAATAATAATAATAATAATAATAATAATAATAATAATAATCACAATACTAATGATAATAATAATAATAATAATAATAATAATAATAATAATAATAATAATAATAATAATAATAATAATAATAATAATAATAATCACAATACTAATGATAATAATAATAAAATAATAATAATAATAATAATAATAATAATAGATCTTCTTGTTTTTTCTAGCCTCTCTTGTAAAAAAGATGGATGACAACAACAGCCTAATTAGTATTTAATATGGGCTGCTTTTGGTGCTTCACACTTTTCCATTGGTCATTTTTTTGTTTTAAGAATATGATCCCAAATTTAGTATAAAAATTTAGAATAAAAGTTACTTGTAAAATGTTTTCTCAATTCAGCAATTGCATTGTGGGCAAAATGCATTGTGTTTGCGTTGTGAGGATTTGCAGCATGTACAGATATTTCATATATAGACCATTTTGAGGGATGTGAACAATAACAATGGTCTCAACATGCTTCCTGTTTAACATTTCTGGATAACAAGAATCTGAAAAGAGCCACATATTGGTAAATAATGTTAGGATAGCTGTTTTAACATTAAGTTTTTAATTGAATTGTCTCTTGTAACAGATATGAAATAGTTTGATAACAAGCAGGAAATGTTCATGGGTCAGTGACATGACCACATTGAAATGGTCTATATACAGTATACTGTACATATACTGAGCTCTGCACTAGACGGTTGTGTATAACTGTTACATTCTGTGCTTTTTGTCATTGATAAAGGTGTGTATGTTGGACTGTGTGACCTTGTGGTGCGTTGGGACAATCTCTCCAAAACCCATAAAAAAATCCTCAGCTTAGGTCAGGAAGCCTGTGACTGTAAGGTAAATCCCATTCTTAGACTAACTCACAATAACAATTGAGTCAAGTTCATTCCAATAGAAAACCCAGACGTTTATATTCAGCAAGTGTTTGAATATGAGTGTTGGTAAGTATTGTGTGCATGAGTTGCACATACAGTCAAGCCTATTATTATGTATTATTAACAATCGCATGGATATGATTTTGTTTTATTCATACTGATTGTTGCAAGAGCAATGCTGTATATGCTTTATATTCATGTTTAACAATTATTAATACACTTTAGCATCACTTTATGTTGAAGTGTATGTAAATTTAGATGAAATATGACACCTCTAATTAACCTAAGCCTTTAAATGTCACTTTAAGCTGTATAGAAGTGTCTTGAAGAATATCTAGTCTAATATTATTTACTGTCATCATGACAAAGAGAAAATAAATCCGTTATTAGAGATGAGTTATTAACACTGTTATGATTAGAAACGTGCTGAAGAAAATCTAAAGAAAAAATATACATGCGCTAATAATTCTGACTTCGACTGTATATGAATTTTTAATAATAAATCTCAGTGGTCTATATATTTGCCTTGTGAACCTAATTGACCTAATTAAGCTGATGTTGTGGTGTAACAGTAAATAACTTCATCTGTGATCTTAACAGGTCAGTCACTGCTTTAAGGAGCCCTGTGATGAAAACAAGTGCTACTTGACAGACATGTTTGATTCGGTGAAGCTGTACTCAGAGTCGATCTGCATGGCCAACAGCACCGGCTCCTGCAGATGGATCAATGCATACTAATGCTGAAGAGCAACGGGAAAAACGATGCCTGAAGTAGAGTGTGTGAGGCGTTCAGCAGCGGAAATAGAGGCTGTTTTGGCTTTTGAGAATGCTTAAAATTATATATATATATATATATATATATATATATATATATATATATATATATATATATATATATATATATATATATATATATATATATATATATATATATATATATATATATATGTCAGCTTTTTCATGCATAATAAAATGAACACAAGCGTTTTGTCAAGCTTTGCTATGCTTTAGAAGTACACACAAAGTCTGTTTGTCTGCAGATTTGCTTAAAACTATTAAAATGTTTTGCATGAAAAAAGTCTGTGTTTGCTTTAAAGAGAAATGCATGTGAATGAATGTTAATAAACACATGCATTTGGTGTGTTCTGTGCGCATGACATCGCCCTCTCTGATGCATGTACTGTATCAAGAGTGATATATATTGATTGGTATTCAATTAAGCAAAGGCATTGCTAGACATAAAGCTCTACTGGGGCACAGCTCCCTTCAAAATAACAAATATAAATAAATATATTTATGCATGTTCACAACCGGGACCGGGAGCAGAGCAATGCTTCAGTGTCAAGCAGGAGGCACCTAGATACTATGCTGTTGAGTGTGTCAGTGCATAACCTGCAGGCACAGAACATCAACATAACGTCATATTGACGTTGTATCCCAATATACCCAATGGATTTTGCTTGGAAATGAAAATTGGGTAGACGTCAGAACCCAATGTTAGACGACGCCAATGTCAAACGTCCAACCTAAAATCAACCAAATATCAACGTCTAATAATGTCACACAATGTTGTGTGGACGTTACCACTATGATATCTATCAGACGTTGGATTTTGGTCGCTTTCCATCAAAACCTAAAATCAACCAAGCATCAACGTCTAATAGTGTTACACCTTGACGTTGTGTAGAAGTTACCACTATGACATCTATACGACGTTAGATTTTGGTCACTTTCCAAGACAACCTAAAATCAACCAAATATCAACGTCTAATAATGTCACACAATGTTGTGTGGAAGTTACCACTATGACATCTATACGACGTTAGATTTTGGTCACTTTCCAAGAAACCTAAAATCAACCAAATATCAACGTCTAATAGTGTTACACCTTGACGTTGTGTAGAAGTTACCACTATGACATCTATCAGACGTTACATTTTGGTCACTTTCCAAGACAACCTAAAATCAACCAAATATCAACGTCTAATAATGTCACACAATGTTGTGTGGACGTTACCACTATGACATCTATCAGACGTTGGATTTTGGTCGCTGTGCAAGACAACCTAAAATCAACCAAATATCAACGTCTAATAATGTCACACCTTGACGTTGTGTGGACGTTACCACCATGACGTCGATCAGACGTTTGATTTTGGTCACTTTGCAAGACAACCTAAAATCAACCAAATATCAACGTAATTTGACGTCGTTATTGGACATCAAAATAATGTTGTCCTTAGATGCTGGCTAGACATTGAATTTTAGTCACCTGACGTCATGACCTAAATCTGACCTAATTTTAACATCTTATGATGTTGTGCCAGCAAGACTCAAGATTTGGCCCCGAAAACCTAAATAATTAAAAATCTTTGGACTTTAGCGACTATCTGTCACACAACCAGCGATCGCTCTCTAGAGATCGCTGGTTCTCACACGAACACCAGGGCCCGGTTTTTCAAAAGGTTTAATCCAGACCAAATTGATCCAGATTTAGTAATCCTGTTTTTGCGATCTGTGATCATGCAATACAGCTTACTTTTTGAGCCAGTTTTTCAAAGCAACATCGGATTGGATCAATCTGATCCAGATAGGAACTTTTCAGGATCACTAAATCTGGATTACCAGTGCTCAATCACAATGTAGATAGATAGGCCTGTGTAAAAAGCAACAAATATAATAGCCAGTGTGGGGTCAAAATATCTTTATTTTTATTTGAAATGAAAACTAAGATAATTTATTAAATAATAAAATAATAATAAATAATAAAAACAAGAAAAACCCCACCCCATCCTCTTCCAGCAGTCCACTCATCTGAGACCTACAACACTGTACATTGAGGATATTTACAGTAAGTTTCAAATATAGATGTAGATAAAAAAAGACTTAATGTCAAAAACTCCACAATAAGTTCAGACTTCCTCATCTGATGTGGAGAGAGCAGCTTGTCTGAGCGCAGCCTTTAGGAGGCAGATCTGAAGTTTGTGATCAATTAGTGACAGAAAATGTTTTATTGTTTTTGGTAAATTTTGACAGCTGTTTGGGGGTTTATTTTATGAGGCCAAACTCTTTCTACTTTGTTGTAGGCCTATACTGAAAGGCTGAATACGTTAAAGCCAATAATCACTACAGCCTGACGGATGAACAAATAAAATTACAACCTTATGAATAAATAGTATATCTTGTAAGGTACTGTATGATCCAAAAATAGTATTATTTAATACATTTTTAAGTTTTCATTACATTTTGGGCATGAAATCCACGCTAAATCCACCCTTCTGATGGGATCAGTTTAATCCAGGTTTTTTGGATCAAAGTGATCCAGATCCTACAAAAAAGGTCTGAAAAACCCAAAGTAAAGGTTTGATCCGGATCCAAACCAAGATTAGATTACGTGATCTAATCCGATTAGGTAATCCGTTTTTTCTTTTGAAAAACCCATTTTCAAGATTTGATCCAATCCCTTATCCAAAATCCTAGTGGATTACTTTTGAAAAACCGGGCCCAGGACTACACTTCCGCAATTCCCAGGACTACATATTCATACATGCACTTCTCCCAGACACGCACGCCTGCTCATTCATCTAGCTTGACTGCACTCACCAGCTGAACCCTGTCAGAAACTGAATACACACCACTCATAAGCCACTCTTGCACCCATTGAGTCTTGTTTGCATTAAGTGACATTACAACGCGTTTCTCCTTGCCTTGTTTTTCCGTGTTAGACCCTAGCCTTGTTTCCCTTTGATATCCTGTTTAGCTGCCTGCCTTACGACCTGTTGCCTGTTATACTGACTACGATTCTGGACTGCCTGTAAATACCCGTTTGCACCTGATTTGACTTCTGCTTGCCTGACGCTCAATAAACCTGCATATTGGATCTTACCCCTGTTGTCTCTGTCACTCCAACCCCGCCGTTACACTATCCTTCAGACCGTTTGGTTTCTGTTACCCATTTAATAGTGAGAAGTTTTTCATAACATAATCAAATATACAGCCACTTATCGCTTAATTTATTTTAAAGTACAGCCCAGAATCCAAATTTTGTTTCATTCATTTTCCTTCGGCTTAGTCCCCGATTTTATCAGGGGTTGCCACAGTGGAATGAACCGCCAATTAATCCAGCATGTTTTACTTGGCGGATGCCCTTTCAGTCGTGACCCAGTACTGGGAAACACATGTTGTTTTATTTTTACATAACAATGGAAAATAATTTTAACTCATATTTTGACTTCTTACGTTGACAAACATAATTTGAACCCCTCTGGCAGACACTTTATTTGAATACTAAATGATTTCTAAGTATTTAAGATGATTTTTGTTGATGTAATTCGATGCCAAGACAAGCCTCTTGTTTTTCCCTCGTTCTGTCATTGCGCAATCTTTCAGAGGAACTGGAGAGTTGGCTGGGCTTTGCTTAAAGTTACATAAGATGCTCGCAGTGCCCAGACAGAAGCAGATCTGCAGAGACGCGGAGGTGAAGAGTCAGAAGTGAAGATGATGAAGATGAAGATGTGTGTGACTGCAGGTCTGCTGTTCCTCATGTGTGTGTGTCTAAAAGAGCACATGCTGGAGGCTTGTAGCTGTGGTCCCGCGCATCCACAAGAGCTCTTCTGCCATGCTGACGTAGGTAAGGCTAAAACACACACGACACTACTGAAATATGCAGGGTTTTCCAAAGCTAACTGCAACATATCTGTTATATCAGTGTTTAAAGCTAGGGTACTTAGCATGAAACTCATCAAAAGCATGTACCCGGGAGAAGGATACTTTAAGTTCAACATCAATATAACCAAGGTGAAAATTTTCATTTTCATACTCCATTATTACCCGTAACATCATGTCTTTTTGTTGTTGTTGTTGTTTTTTTTTTTTTTTACCAGAATTGTATGTTTGTATTTCTCTATTCAGATGTACAAGGGGTTTGAGCATGCCGGAATCAAGCATTTCTTCACTCCTGAAGATGAAGGAATGTGTGGCATCAGTCTGACCCGTAGCGTGTATCTGTTCTCAGGTAAAAACACTCATCTCTTCTGAAAACATGTTGAGAATGTGTATATATATATATATATATATGAGACTGTATACATCTCTAATAACCGATTTATTTTCTCTTTGCCATGACGACAGCACATAATATACTAGTGTTCAGCTTAAATTGACATGTAAAGGCTTCACTAGGGTAATTAGGGTAAAGTTAGGGTAATTAGGCAAGTCATTGTATAACAGTGGTTTGTCCTGGAGACAATCCAACACTAATACTGCTGAAGGGGCCAATAATATTGACCTTAAAATGTTGTTAAAAAATTTAAAACTGCTTTTATTCTAGCCAAAATAAAACTAAATATACTTTCTCCAGAAGAACAAAATATTATAGGAAATACTGTGAAAAGTTCCTGAATCTGTTCAACATTAAATGAATATATTTGACAAAGAAACTAAATTTCACAGAAGGGCGAATAAATCTGACTTCAACTGTACTGACCACTCTTATTCCTGATGCTGGCTCATTAGCTGTTGAAAGTCAGAGCCAATTCACAAACACATTTATGAACAAGTGGTGTACTGTAGTTTATGATGGGCACACGCTGTGTTTTTCCACACACATCTAGTCTGAGAATGCAAACATTGACTTTTTGAGCTAGTTTTAAAACAAGGTGCTTCTTATTGCATCAAAGTGTGTGCAGTATGTGAAGCAATGTATTTTAATGCTCTATAACTCTTTTTTTTCCCTTCCCTTAGGGAAGCTCGTCTCCAGACACGAAGGTAATGGAACTGTCATTCTCTAAAACTACTGTGTATATATATATATATATATATATATATATATATATATATATATATATATATATATATATATATATATATATATATATATATATATATATATATAGCCCCCCAAATAATAGTTCTGATATATTATAATATATATATATATAATTTAGGCTGCTTAATAAAAATACCATGGACACTTAAAGTCTTTCTTTCAACAAATTGTCTTTGTAGATTGCTTTTTAGCCATAGTGATTTTTGTTGTGGGGATGTTGGTTGTGTATGAATGGCTTGATGTAGAAATATGTTTGTTTATTTGTGTAATTTTGTATTTAGTTTATAAATTTAATACCTTTTTTAACAATGACATTGCACTTTTAAGGCTCTATTTTGACGGTCCATGCACAAAGCGCAGAGCGCAAACGCTTTCAGGGCGTGCCAGTTGAGTCGCGCTATGGCACTTTCGCTCTTGTGGATAGGAAAACCTTGTACGCACAGGCATTAATCAGCCTATAAATCATGAATTGCGTTTGTTAAGCACAAATATTTGTTTCAAAACTATTTCTAACTTCAGCTCTAATTTCCAGCAATTGAATAAATGAACAATAATAATGAAGTGTGCTCAAAAACCTGAGTTATATCCAAATACACATGCTGTGCCCCATCTGGTCTAAAACCTGCAGGTGGACAAATCTAAGCTTGTTTTTAATAAAACAAATATAAATATGGATATAATAAATAATACTGCTAACAATAATAACATTAAACAAAAGCAAATTGAATGAACTGAAAAAGCCTCCCGAGATGAAGAAGGCATGGAGGAAGTGATTTTTATATTTATGTAGGCTAGAAAATAATGTTTTGTAATATTTTAATCCTTTATATTTATATCCTATATATATTCTTATTATATCCTATATATATATCCTTAATATTTTATATGTTTTTCATATGTAAAGATATTTGCGTGTTGCTCTACCTCTTGTGTGTATTAAGCAGTGTGTAAGCGAGGACCAACTCTGCGCTGGACTTTAGACCGGGTTTGTTTTGGTCTATTGAAAAATCTATTATAGTTTCTCAAAATAGCAACGCGCCAGCGGTCCGCCTCAGAACACCTTCCTTTTAGACCAGAACGCCTATGGGCGCACAAATGAGCGTGAATGCATTTGCTATTTAAACAGTGTAGCGCAACGCCTCAAAACTAGCAAACAACTATGGCGTCGCGCCTTACACCACATTGCGCCGGGTGTATGATAGGGCTCATAGTATCTAATGATATCCATGTCATACAGTCTTCGTCTCATCACAGTCTTGGAAAAAAAGAAAGGTTGTCAACAAATACATTTTGTGATTATTTTTGTTAACAAAATTACCACGGGCTCTAATGACCTCGTGGCCATCATGTTTATGTCAGATTTATGTTGTCTTGGTCATTTCAAGAATGTCAGACAAAACAGGTTATGTATTTGTTTGTCAAGTTATCATAACAAAGACATCTCACCTTTGCATTTCAGATTACTGTGCCTTATCATAAGCATGCATAAAATCTCAATAATACTCGTGTTGTGTAATGTCACGATCATATGTGTCGTAAAAGTCTTAAGAACATCCCATTAAGTGTTACCAAATGGTCAATAATCAATAACAAAACCACAGTTCAGTTTAATACGTGTACAGTCATCACACATTGTGTTGTTACAATTTGCTGATACATTAAAAGTCATAATTTAAGCCTCATTTCCCATTTTATATGCTAAACTAATAAGTAAGTAAGTTATGTGTATTCATATAGCGCATTTATAGTGTTTGGCCATACACCCAAAGCACTTCTCTCCACACCACCACCACCAGTGCTTCACCACACACCAGCTATAGGAGGAGTGGAGAGACAGTGATGGGTATGATTGGGATCATGAGAGGAGATGGCCAGGACACCAGGGTTACACCCCTACTCTTTATAAGAAGTGCCATGGGATTATTAATGAGCACAGAGAGACAGGACCTCAGTTTAACGTCTCATCTGAAAGACGAACAGAATATAATACAAGATGCTGAACCCAATCCCATACAAGTTGGATGTCGTATGAACAAAAGCTGTACATACACAATAGAACAAGCGTCATTGTGCATTACTGTACGCTTGTGCATTTCCAGGACATGCCAAGAAAAGTCTGACTGTTGATCTGTGTGACATCGTGAAGCATTGGAGCAGACTCTCCAAAACTGAGAAAAAGATCCTCAGTGTACACCGGAAAGCCTGTAACTGTCAGGTAAATCCCATTCCTGAAGTACTGCACACAAATACAGAATACTGTAATGATGTTAGAGCAAATATTTAACTGCTGATGAAGTCCAGAGGTTTTAATCAGAGAGCTGATTAGATTTCAATGTCGGTTCAGTGAACAGTAAATAACTCCATCTGTGATCTTTACAGGTTAGTCACTGCTATATAGAGCCCTGTGATGAAAACAAGTGCTACTTGAGAGACATCTATGATCCAGACGAGGGCTCACAGTCGATCTGCATGGCCAACAGCACCGGCTCCTGCAGATGGATCAATGCATAATAATGCTGAAGAGCAACGGGGAAAATGAGTGTGTGTGAGGCGATTCGCTGTGGAGATAGTGGCTTTTAACAGTGCTTAAAATGCTTTATATGTGTCAGCTTTATGAATGTTAAAATGAGCACAAGAGTTTTATAAAGCTTTGCAATGCAGTAGAAAATACACACATGAAAAGCTTTGCATGAAAAAAAAAGTGTGTGTTTGTTTTAAAGAGAAATGCATGTTAATAAACACATACATTCGGTGTTTGTGTGTGTGTGTGTGTGTGTTTACACATTGTACAAAAACACAATATCAAAACCAAAATACAATAAAATTTTTAGCAAAAAACCTTCTGCAAACACTAATACCAATACTGATATAAGTCAACTGCATGCTGTATACCGTACAAGCTGTTTTCCTTCATTAAACTAGTTTCACCAAACATTCTAACATTTTAAGAGAAACACAAGTAAAAAAAAAAAGCAAATCCTCAAATTAGATTTTTTTTAGCCTTTTTCATATTATTGCCAATGTGATTAAATTAATCCAATATTACATCAGTGCATCTTTAATTAAAATATTTCATTTGAACGCACCTAAGAGAATTTATAGTATCTGCAAGTACAGTTAAAATATAAGACATTTAGAAGTGCACACTGATTACTAAACTGAAAAAATGGTTCATTGCAAATTGTTCCAAACTATTTACAGTTCAGGTCAGAATTATTCACCCCCCTTTGATTTTTTTTTTCTTTTTGAAATATTTCCCAAATGGTGTTTAACAGAGCAAGGAAATGTTCACAGTGTGTCTGATAATATTTTTTCTTCTGGAGAAAGTCTTATTTGTTTTATTTCGGCTAGAATAAAAGCAGTTTTTATTTTTATTAACCCATTTTAAGGTCAATATTATTTGCCCCTTTAAGCCATATATTTTTCCGATAGTCTCCAGAACAATCATTACACAATAACTTGCCTAATTACCCTAACCTGCCTATTTAACCTAATTACCCCAGTAAAGCCTTTAAATGTCACTTTAAGCTGTATAGAAGTGTCTTGAAGAATATCTAGTCTAATATTACTTACTGTCATCATGACAAAGAGAAAATAAATCAATTATTAGAGATGAGTTATTCACACTATTATGATTAGAAATGTGTAGAGAAAATCTGCTCTCCGTTAAACAGAAATTAAGGAAAAAATGAACAGGGGGCGAATAATTCTGACTTTATATAAGCTGAGTTTAAACAAATAAAGTTGAGCATTACTATATTTAATTAGCTTTTTCTCTAAATTCCCATATCAATTGTTTACAAACACTTACCTTAGAATATGTAGTAAATCCAATTAATAATTTTTTTTCGGTGTATTAAGCACATTTCTATGACACTGTACACGATATAGCAGCAAACAAAGTAAAAGAGCCACATGTTTGATCAAAATGAGCAGGTGTTTGATTATGTGGTGTATTATGTTGAAATAAATGTGTTTTATTTCTCACCATGTCCCTGTAGTTGGAGTAAAAGGTCTGATCAACCAGAGGGAACTTTTCTGGACCCATTTTCTTGTAGACGCTGATCAGCTGAGCGAACTGAGAGAGAGAAAACAAACATGATAATCAGTTTACATAGACATGACAAAAACTAAAAGCTGAAGTGTTGATGGTGTCACAAATACAATCTCACGAGTTGTCATCCTCCTCAGTTTCCTAAAATACACTTTCCAAAAGAGTAAACACCTGTCGGGGAAACAAGAGCAGCCGGAGGAAACAGGAGCTAACATGATGAGAACATGCAAACTCCATACAGAAACGCCAATTGACCCAGCCGGGACTCGAACCGGCGACCCTCTTGCTATGGGGTGATCATGCTACCCACTGTGCCACCGTGTCGCCCATGGCATCAATTTTAAGCCATACAAATTTGAGTTGAGTCAACTTATTTGTTACTGTGTTCATGCAGACACAATGCAGAAGCGCATGCGGACTCACAGCCCAGGGTTTGTCACAGAGGTTGTAGATGGACTCCAGTGAGTTGACGCTGGGAATGCCGGCGTACTGTAAGCCGATGATGATGTTCCTGAAGTCTTCATTCTGTGCCATACTGTAGGCATGCTGTCGAACCAGGACAAAATCAGGCTTGAAGGAGCTGCAGAACACAGCAATAAGAGTGTCAGAAACATTAAATCATTGTAATTCCCTACACCACTGCTGAAATGTCATGTTTGGAGATGTTAATTGAATATCTAGTCATTTGTTTACACTCTCAGAAGCTGAATCTGCAGTATGTTTGCATTGCATTTGCAAAAGAGGGATTGAAATTTGCATTAAAATGTAAGTTTTTGTAACACTCTGAAATAGTATTCGTATTTTTAACTTCATTAAGAATTATGAGTACTAAAACAGCACAACTACAAATAATGTCAACTAAAATAATAGTAAAATAAAAAATGATATTTTATGTATTATTTATTTTATGAACCAAGACATTGACTACATTTGCATTGACATTTTAATTAAATTATTTGCCTTAATCTGAGTTAAACAATATGATAAAGGTGTTTACATGAGTTGCTTTTTTAGGGCTCTATTTTGACGGTCCATGCACAAAGCAAGAATGGAAGAATCCACTTTTGCTAATTTAAGAATGGAAAAATCCGCTTTGCACCGTGGCGCATGGTCTAAAAGGGTTGAGTTTGTTTTCTTAATGAGTTATAGGTGTGTTTTGAAAATAAACCAATCAGAGTCTCATCTCCCATTCCCTTTAAGAGCCAGTTACATCGCGCCATAAGCGCATTTGCTATTAACATGATGTAAAGTAAGTGTAGGTGGAAAAACTGAGCATTTCACAAGCAAGAAAACAGTTAAACAGAGCATCTACAGCACGAGAATGACAGATAAGGCATCTCATAATCTACTTTCACTTTCGCTCTCGTGGATAGGGAAACCTTTGCACAGACATCAATTAGCCTATACATAATTAATTTTGTTTGTTAAGCACAAAGATTTGTTTCAAAACTATTTCTAAATTCAGTTCTAATTTCCAGCAAACGAATAAATGAACAATAATAATGAAGTGTGCTCAAAAACCTGAGTTATATCCTAAAACACATGCTGTGCCCCATATAGTCTAAAACCTGCAGGTGGACAAATCTAAGCTTGTTTTTAATAAAACAAATATAAATATGGATATAATGAATAATACTGCTAATAATATCAACATTATACAAAAGCAAATTGAATGAACTGAAAAAGCCTCCCGAGATGAAGAAGGCATGAAGGCAGTGGTGTTTAAATTCATGTAGGCTAGAAAATAATATGTTTTGTAATATTTTAATCCTTTATATTTATATCCTATATATATATATATATAATATTTTAATTATTTTTCATATGTAAAGATAATTGCGTATTGCTCTATATCTTGTGTGTATTAAACAGTGTGTAAGCAAGGCTCACTCTGCGCCAGACTTTAGACAGGCTTTTTTCTGGTCTAAAGAACAGACTATTATAGTTTCTCAAAAACGCGCCAAGACACACCTGCTTTTTTAGAGCAAAACGCCTATGGGCGCACATATGTGCACAAATGCATTTGCTATTTAAACAGCGTAGCGCAACACCTCAAAACGACTTCAGTTTCTCTTTATTTCAATTATGACTTTAGTCAGAATAAAATAATTAAAAATTGCTGTTCACATGCTGACTCTTAATCCGAGTATTGTCATAATCTCACTAAATGTTGATTATTGATGTCCATGTAAACATACTTAGTCTCTAAAGTGAAAAACAAAAGCATAAAATACACTAAAACCATTATATTTTAGCTTTACTTTCAGGTAAAAACAAAAAACAACAAACAAATATAAATCTAAATAAAACAAATAAATATATTAAAAAAGAAAAATATATACACACACACACACACACACACACACACACACACACACACACACACACACACACACACACACAAACACACACACACACACACACACACACACACATATACATATATATATATACAGTTGAAATCGGAATTATTAAACTGCCTGAATTATTACCCCCCATTTATTTTTTCCCCCAATTTTTGTTTAAAGAAGAGCAGATTTTTTACACATTTCTAATCATAATAGTTTTAATAACTCATTTCTATTAACTGATTTATTTTCTCTTTGTCATGATGACAGTAAATAATGTACACACACACACACATACGCGCGCACCCACACACACACACACACACACACACACACACACACACACACACACACACACACACACACACACACACACACACACACACACACACAGAGTAAATCCCCCCGGCCCACTCATGTAAATCAGTGTAAGTGGTGTTTCTCCCACTGAACACCCTCCGTCTCGGAGCTTCTGGTAAACTCGTGTGGATTTCCTGTTACTGTTTTCTGTGGTCATCATGACAGTAAAACCTCGTCAGTTTCAGAATCACTGTGAGTCTCTGAGCAACACTGAGATTGTGTGTGATTTCACTCCATTTCATGTATATAAAGTTCGTTTTGCAGGACAATACTAAATCAGCCTTTCTGCACTGTGAAAATGTCCGTCAATGAACACTTTCTGCTTGTGTTTTGTTTATTTGCGGAGGTGAACTGCATTATGGGATGTTGATCTCTGCTCTGTCCACTTCTGATGCTACAAATCCAGCTCTACAGATTAACAAACACAGGCAGGTATATTGATGAGCATCACTGCAGTATGATAATCTGAAGGTGATCGTGAACTCACCGGACCACTTTGGTGCCGTTTCTGATGACCTGCATGTCCACACTGCACGTGCCGTTAGCATGAGCCACCAGATTAATCTCACTGAACTCAGCCTGAAACACACACACACACACACACACACACACACACACACACACACACACACACACACACACACACACAATCAGAATAAACCGGTTTAAACTTCAGACAGTTTTAGCATGAGTCAGATGCTCCACTTTAGTGAATGAATGAAACACAGCCCTATATCTGCTTAATTAATTTGCATTGACGATCCTGTGCTCAAATCAGTGATTGCAATGTAAGTCTGTGTTCTAATCTGTGTGTTTGTAACTCATCCTCATAATGAGTGACTGTAAAACTTCATCTGCTGTCTGACTTTATTCACAGACGCAATAAAACTGAAGAGTTTCTACATGCAGAATCACCTCAGAGCGGCTCATTCATTAGCAATAAAGCATCTAATGCTGCGGCTGCAGACTTTCCTCATTTGGTCTGCTTTATTAAGCGTTTGGCAGAAGGATGATTCGCTTCAGAGGCGTTTATATAAATGTTAGCCTCTGTAATTACGCTTTTTATTGTGTAATTAGTAAATCTCACACTAATAGTATCCATCAGTCAAAAACCAAGAGCTGAACTCAGGATTATTCAGTCACAGACAGCCAGGGAGGAACACACACTGTCAAACATGCTGGATTTGTGTACACTGTAAGAAAAAAAATCGTAAAAATAAGGTCAAACGACTGGCAGCTACGGCTGCCAAACAAAAACCATAAAATTACGGTAAAATTTCTTTGTTGAAATAAAGTGCAAAAAATAATAAATCTACAGATATTTTCATTAAAGTGTTTACAGAAAAACACTGTTATTTTACAGACTTTTCCTAGATTATTACAATCAAATCCATTCAATAAAGGTACACACTAAGAGTTTTACAAAGAAACACTGTTATTATACAGACTTCTCCAAGATTAATATGATCAAACATCATCAATAAAGTGCCTGCACTAAAAGTTCAAGAGAAAACAATGTTATTTAAAAGAATTTTCCCTAAATCATTACGATTAAACACCTTTAATAACATGCCAAGACATGCTCATGATTTTAAATTTTGGGAAAAAACAACAAGCGAGAAACAACTGATTAAAATTCTCACAACTTTAAAATGACAGTTGTTACATTTTATTGAATAGTGTTTATGTAAAACAAGCAGAGGTTTAAGTTATATGGAATGATTCAGTTACAGATCTTAAATGAAATGGAACTGTAACATGAAGGGGACGCTGACAAAAGAGTGCAGATCTAAAGGCAAGCAACAGTCAACACAGGGGCAAACAGATGTAACATTTTGCAGGGAATCAGGAATCATGGTCAAATAACAGGCAAATGGTCAGTCCCGGCAGCAAACAACGTAAACAATTAACAAACAAAGCAAGGCAAAAGAAGAGAACCGCGTCATAATGTTCACAGTAGCAGTATAACAAGACTAAGCAATTGGCGTGTGCGTCTGTGCTGCTTTTAAAGTGCATTTAATCAGTTCATAACGATCCTCCGACTGTGTGTGTGCAATCAGCAGAATCTGGAACAGGTGTATGTGAGCACTCTTAGTGCGTTACTTTATTAAATGGATTTGATAGTAATAAGGAAAAGTCTGTAAAATAACAGTGTTTCTCTGTAAACTTTTTTAATGAAAATATCTGTAGATTTATTATTTTTTGCACATTTCTTCAACAAAAGAAATTTTACCGTAATTTTATGGTTTTAGTTTGGCAGCCGTAGCTGCCAGTCATTTGACCTTTTTTTTACGATTTTTTTTTTTTTTTACAGAGCACGTAATTACAATTTATTACTTTAATTTTACGTAATTTTAACTGTACTTAAAAACAGGAAAAAACTGTAAATAATGTAAATTTTTTTGTAAAAAACAGACAAATTTCTGTAATTTGTCATTACTTATATAGTACATAAAATAACAGTCAAGCCGTTAATTTACAGATTATGTTTGTAGTTTTTACGAACTTTTGAATATAATTTAAAATGACAGAAAAAGTACTGTATAAATAATACTGTAATTTCCCTGTATAAAAAAAACACAATGTCAGTAATTTGTCTTTAATGCTAAAGTACCTAAAATGAAAGTCAAACGGTTAATTTAGAGAGATAGGTTGTCATTTTACTAAGTTTTGAATATTATGTGAAATGAAAAAAAATTACTGTAAAAAATTTAAGGATATTTTCTGTAAAATTTGTTTTTTTTTTACAGTGTATGTGTCAACATAAAGGAATTAGGTTAGGATTTTTAACAAATGTATGTGGATTGAACATAAAACAATTAAACTGTCCCAAAAAGGTTTGAACAAACAACATACATATTTTTTTTTTTCTGCATGCAAACACAGTTATTCCCTCCTGAAATCAAATTATACTTATTCCATATATTTCTCAAGCACTGTTTACCTGAGATATTTTCAGCATATCTGTTTATCAAATGTTTTAATTACTACTTTTGTTGATGTGTGTTCATTCTCAATTTGAATGTGCCTAATGTTGGGGCACATCTGATCATTTCCTGATTCCAGCAGCAGGGGGCGCTGTTAGCAGCTGAAGGCTGATTCACCCTGCTTTGACTGAACTCTTGGAGTTTATTTGATCCTAGAGATCTGAGTGATCTGTTGCGTACATGTGTCATTTCAGATAGAAATCTACATGACTCCATCAACAGTAAGGTTTCTATCGACTGATTAAATAAGAATAAATACATAAACTCCACAATGCACACTTACTACAGGCAATACAGACAACTCGTGCCAGTGTTCCAGCGGTGTGTGTGATCATCAGCCAGTCACAGTATAACCTGCATGTCTAATATGATAATAAAAGCTTCATACCTGCTCCACTTTGATGTCATAATCTCCTTGCACCTTCTTCCCACGAAAAAGCTTTGTCCTGAAAGACACAAAGAAGAGATATTGATTATTCATTTGACATGCGCCTGTGGTGCTGTGCAGTCAGTTTATGAACAGACAGCTCTGCATCGTTTCATCCCTGCTGCTGTAATGGCTGAGAAAACCATCAAATAAACAAACGGCATAATTGCAGAGCCGCGAGCTGGAGTTCACTGCGCTGTTTACATCGTTCCTCTGGCTTCAGATTCAGAGAAATCAATCTGACACAGCAGCTTTAATTATTCACTTTTCTACAGTGTGTTAAAGTGTACATCTCAAAGCACTTAACATCATCTGAGTTGCCAAATTTGTCATTATTATATTCCTGTAATAATATTTCCATATGCCCCCATAATTCATGTTATCTAGTGTTTAAGTGTACATCCCAAAGCACTTTACACCAAAATACAACACAATAATGTAATAAATACCAAGAAATAAAAATAAGAACATCATTTGAGTTGCCAGATTTGTCATTATTGTATTCCCCTCATAATATTTCTGTATGCCCCTTAATTCACATTATCTATAGTGTGCTTAAGTGTACATCTCAAAGCACTTTACACCAGAATACAACACAATAATGTAATAAATACCAAAAAAAGAACATAATTTAAGTTGCCAAATTTGTCATTATAAAATTCCCATCATAATATTTCCATACGCGCCTTATGCTACTAAATAAAATAATTTATATACTGAAAATTAATATATTTTTAAAAGCTGATATTTCGAATAATGCAAGTGCTCTTGCACTCGATAAATTTATCAAGGGCTTAAAAAAATAATGATTTAAATAAATATGTGACGGAGGTGCAGAGGTGGAGGAAGAGAAAATAAATGAATGAAAATGTGGAGAAAAAAATGAATATACATATGTGAACTTATAACTGTGTATATCGTTGTATGTGTGCTTGGCTTGTTTTGTTTTTTCCGATTACTATTCTACCTCTGTCTATCTGTACTGCTTTAACTACATAAAAATTCATCAAACAGATTAGACAGACAGACAGAGATAGATGGATGGATGGATGGATGGATGGATGGATGGACGGACGGACGGACGGACGGACGGACGGACGGACGGACGGACGGACGGACGGACGGACGGACGGACGGACGGACGGACGGACAGACAGACAGACAGACAGACAGACAGACAGACAGACAGACAGACAGACAGATAGATAGATAGATAGATAGATAGATAGATAGACAGACAGATAGATAGACAGATAGATAGATAGATGAATAAATAAACAAATCAACTAACAAAAATAAATAAAAACAAATAAATAAAAAACAAATAAATAAAAACAAATAAATATAAATAAATAAATAAATAAATAAAGAAAGAAAGAAATAACAAATAAAAAACAAACAAACAAATAAATAAACAAACAAATAAATAAATAAATAAATAAATAATTGTCCGGTGTCTTTACTCATACACGTGAACACATCATTAAAATCACATGAATGCTCATTATAACACTTTTTAAATGGTGTAAATCAGACTGTCACCAACATGCTCACGCTTCTGAGAAACAGTGATGGATTATGCAACGCTGCCCTCTAAAGGTGAGCATCATTATGTCATATAATACTGGCCGCATCTCCATCAGATGGCAGCACTTTCAGCGCCTCACTCCTTTTCAATGGCTCCAGAATTATTTTGCTTGATGGAAATGAGCCTGAGTGTGTGCTGTGGCAGAGCAGCAGAAACACTGGACTGATTTAATTATGAACCTCCATATTGAGAAACACCTGTGAGTTATTAAACACACACCTGATGCTGTTTGACCACATTAGAGACAAGCCAAGAGTCCAAAAACAACAGCTTTGACTGTTTAGTACATATAATATAATATAATATAATATAATATAATATAATATAATATAATATAATATAATATAATATAATATAATACAATATAATTAAAAATAATATAATATAATATAATAAAATATACTATAATATAATATAATATAATGTAATATACTATAAAATAAAATAATATAATATAATATAATATAATATAACATAATATAATATAATATAATTAAAAATAATATAATATAATATAATAAAATATACTATAATATAATATAATATAATATAATATAATATAATAGAATATAATATAATATAATATAATATAATATAATATAAAATAAAATAATATAAAATAATATAATATAATATAATATAATACAATATAATTAAAAATAATATAATATAATAAAATATACTATAATATAATATAATATACTATAAAATAAAATAATATAATATAATATAATATAATTAAAAATAATATAATATAATATAATATAATATAATATAATTAAAAATAATATAATATAATATAATATAATATAATATAATACAATATAATTAAAAATAATATAATATAATATACTATAATATAATATAATAAAATATACTATACTATAATATAATATAATATAATATACTATAATATAATATAATAAAATATAATATACTATAATATAATATAATATAATATAATATAATATAATATAATATAATATAATATAATATAATAATAAAGTATAGCCGGATCAGCTAAATAACCCATTCACAACACACAGCGCTGCACTGAAACTCTTTAAAGCAGCGCAGAACTGATCATAACACTCCAGTAAACACACAGCAGAGCAGATCACAGATCAGCCTAGCAACCGCATAGCAACAGCCACCCACATCCCATCACATCACTCCAACAGTGAGAAAGAGTTTAGCACAGATGAGCTTCATTCTCCAGGGTGTGTGTGTGTGTGTGAGAGAGAGAAAGAATAACGAAAAGAGTATGTGTGTGTGTTCATGTTGTTTTACAGCGTTCATGCTCTCTGTCAGTGAGTGCTCTTCTCATTCTTGGTGCTCCAGGAATTATTCTGCATCTTCAACAGACAGCTGCTGTTTATTTATATATTTACTCTGAAATGCTCACACTGACACACACACACACACACACACACACACACACACACACACACACACACACACACACACACACACACACACACACACACACACACACACACACACACACACACACACACACACACAGCTTTTATGTTCTCCTTAGAATTGTAATGATGTTCCCACTATCCAGACAGGGGCGAATTAAACCAATGAGCAAAGTAAGCAATCGTGTAGGGCCCCGGTATCCTGACCAATGCCAGGACGCTTTTATTAAACATGTAGCTCTTGTGTAAATCTTCTATCATATGTTGTCAGATTTGTCTAGAACGGTTAATATTTTAATGTTACTACTTAATTTAAAAGCCGGCGGCCCCCATGAATAGTGGAACATTCCATTAGTACTGCACATAGGCGAGGGGTGAGCAGTTCAAAGACTCTGGATCGCGGAGGAAGCTGCGTTTCAGTGTTTGTCTTATCTCCAGTTTTTTTTTCCCCTAAGTCCACCCCTGTGTACAGTCTGTATATTGTAGCGTCTTAAATACACAGATTTGACATTAAACCCAGCAGCAGTAAAGACAGTGTCAGGTTTGTTTCACGCCACAGGATAAAAAAGGGGCAATTTCTCCACCCAGATTTGGGGAAATATGTAAATTGGTGTCCTCTGCGTCACTGCAGCTTACCAACAGCAGATAAGACTATCAACAGCCTGACTCTAATAAGCATCGACTGCTTTGATCCTGCAATTTGATAGAGGCATTTCTGAGAGTGTGAATCTCATCTGAGCTCTGGGAGAAACTCAACATCACAGCGGCTCCAGAAGCTCATCATTACTGATATTACAGCTTTATGAGGACACCAAACAATCACAGAGGATGATGATGATGATGATGATGATACTGGCTACAGCTCACACTGTCAAACATATTAATGAACAATTTCTGGATTTTGCTCTCAAGTGTTTATTTCCAGTAGTGAATTATATTATGGGATGTTGATCTCTGCTCTGTCCACTTCTGATGATGAAAATTCAACTCTATATCAAAGTGACTTTTACTGACATTTTAGTCCTTTAAAATAATATAATGTATAAGAGATAATATCGAGAGACATTATTGTGCAAAATAACAGAACATGTGAGGAAAAACATTACAAGGGAGCCACTTTTTGGAACTTTTCATGGTTAAAAGTTGTTAAAAGAAAGATCCAGATCCTATAATGCAATTCAGAAGCAGAAATAAATGAGGAAAAATAAAAACATACAGCACAAAACTGGAAAACTGCTAATTTGCAGATATTTCTACAGTGCAGTTCAGCTATCAGTTCACATTTAAAGTGGGGGATGCATGAGAAAAAACTAATTTGTCTTGATTTTTTGGCATATAAGAGGTCTTTGCAACATTAGAATTATCTGCAAGTTTAATAGCTTACATTCACACCAAGAGCGATAACTATGCAGATAATGACAAATACATTGTTCTAAATATCATTCTGTATATAAAACACCAGCAGAGTTTTGACCACAGATATAATGATAAAGCAGACCAGTAAAAAATGGCTTATTTACTGGTCAAAAGTAACATAAATCTAACCCAATGACCAACAAAAACTTTCAAAAACTAGCTAAATGATCAGTCAAAATGGCCTAAAAATATTCCAGTGATCATTTATAACCCAACATTACTCCATTGGCTGATTGAAAATGTCCCAAATACAGCCCAACCACAGAATACAACTCAAAATTAGTAAAAATACCTAATAAAAATAAAAATAACAATAAACAAACAGTATGATCTTGTGATAAATCAATAACCCAAAATATGATCAATGAGGAATCAAAAAATATTCCAAAACTAACCCAAAGGTCAATCAAAATACAGCCACAGCCATATCACCCCGCATCCCAAGACCAGTTACTGACTGAAGATAAGCAGGGCTGAGCCTGCTCAGTACCTGGATGGGAGACCACATGGGGACACTAGGTTGTGGTGATTCTACAGTTGCTATGGCAACACAACAACTACAGTAATTGATCTGCAGTGGTGATTCTACAG